AAAAAATAATTCCTGGAGAGGTCTTTGTAAATGCTGACTGTTTCCTATTCCCCTCCAGGAAGTGTGCTTTTTTGATACATCTTAGGATGGATTTTGGTAGCCTCTATTAAAACTGCAGGCTGTCCCTATGAATTTTAAAGAACTCCAGAGCCTGGAAATAACAACAAGCTGTTAGGCCAAATGGGATCAACTGGTATTGCCACAGGTTTTGCTCTTTGCTCTCACTGCTGTCAGGTAACAGTTATTAAAAACACTCCTCACTTGGGGAACGAGCTGTGAAACAGCCCTGCTGCGGTGTTCACGGCGTGCAGCACCGGCCGTGTCGGACCGCTCGCCTTCGACAGGCGAAGAGATGCCCTGCAATGCTGATCCTGCACGGGATCAGCATTTATTGTTATTCTAAATGTGGCTTTAGATGTGGCACGGCATGTTTTGGTGAGCACACGGCAGTTTTGCATCGGGTCCCTCCCCGCGGACAGGCACTGCTCAGGTGGGCCAGGTCCCTGCCGTGCATGACCTGATGGCTCCTTCTTGTCCCTATTTTCTGCAACTCAGTGCTCTGGAGGTCGAGCACGGACTATGCTCCAGTGGGATTGCTTGCTGGCCAGAGCACCCTGAACTGCTTCAGTCCTGCCAAGCTGAGCTGAAGCTGATGGGAGTCTCAGGAGGCTGGAGGTGCTGCCTGCCCTCTGCAGAGCATGCCTCAAAGCTGTGCTGCTCCTGGGGAGCTGAGCTGGTATGGCAGAGCCATCCTCAGCCTGAATCTCCTCCCTGGGCTCCTCTGTCCCGAGGGCTTTCCTTCCTGGCCCTTTTTGTTTGAGTGCCTTGACTCATTTTGGCACCTTGAGGCTGGTTCAGCTCCAGAAACAGCAAGTCTCGCTCTGTCTGAAGGTTGCAGCTGTGATGCTGGGGCTAGAAAGAACCAGCAAGGTCAAGTTGTTATCTTTCTTAAAATTAAGGACATCTTTTCTGCTGGCGTAGAATAAGACTAAAGCTACTTCAGCAGATCCGTGGTGTTGACAGCTTTGCTGTTTCTGACCCCCTCTGAGCCAGGGTGTGCTCCTCTAGAACAGTAGTTCCCGATGATGCTTCTGTCTGAGATGCCCCCAGGGCATCAGTGTGCGGGACTGATTTCATGTGGTGATTTATTATCTCTGCTTGAACAGAGGCTTTGAAAAAGATGATGCTCTCTTGCAGGCTTTCTTGCCCTCTTCCTTTTGTTCTGCCTTCCTCTTGCGTTAAGTAGCCCCAGATATTCAGAAGACAGCTTGACAGCACGATGTATGGCCTGAGATGCTACAGCAGTGCTGCTGGATGTGTGAGAGACAGCGGAGGGCTAAGCAGAGCTGCAGAAAGGCTGCAAAGGTTGTGCAGTTTGTAACGGAGAGCCGAGTCTCTCCGTGGAGCAGAAATCCAGGTGTGCTGTGGGAAAATGATGCAACCCTTCAGGGAGATTCTGACTCTACACTGCTGTCTCTGTGGTCATCGGATACCTCTCAGCAGCAATGTGAATTCCTAGCAAGGAATGTGCAGGAAAGACAGAAATGTGCCTGTTTACCTTCTGGCTATCAATGGGATCGTTAAACAGAAAGGATTGAGAAACAGCTGATCTTATTTGACTCTTGATGCACAAAAGTGTCCTGTTGGGAGCCAAAGCAAATGTTTCCTTGGGGATGGTTCCAGAGAGCCTTGCTTCTATGCTCGTTGCAGGCCAACTGTATGGCTAGAATTGGAAGCATATTTTACAAATAAGAGGTTTTTTTGTCCTCTGACAGTAAAATGTTGGTACTTTTGGTGTGGAGAGAAGGTAATCAGAGGTTCGCTGAATTTCAAATTAAACTCCCAGTTTTTACCATCATCTGCAAACAAGGAATAAGCAAATAATTTAGTTCGTACCTCTGCCAGCCCCCCAGTTTTGTTGCCTCTGTTATCTCAGAATTTAAGATGAAATGTGTTTTGATTAGGAGTGGAATAAAAAGTTGAGAGCAGAGCGTATGTAATTCTCCATTACTTGCTAAATCCTCACTCTTTACTTCAATGCAAATTGTTCCGAGGAGGATTCTTTTTTAAAAGGTCTTCAGGGATCTTGAATTTTAGATGTGCATTGACATGAAATGAAATGTTAGAGTGCACAGCTGGGGTTCTGGCTTTTGCAGTACAAGATGGAGATGTTTCTCCTTTGTGGGAACGTGTTTCCAAGGAAGGGGCGAAGTTTTCCTGTTAGTTGCACTATGTTAGCGAGCAGCGCAGGGGGTGCAGGATAAAATGAGAGCGAGTTGGAAAGACCAAGGTCAAACTTCAGGTCTGAAGCATGCTTTAAAGGCTTGCTGGGATGGGGACGGGTCTGGGCTGTATTGAGCCTGCAACCAAGCCATTCATTCCTGCAGACCCATCTGCGGTGTCTGTTGGTGGGTTTGAGATCTCAGAGGTGTTAGAGCGAGGGAATTCACCAGGAGAGGCTTTGTTTGCATGCACTAGCACATGGCAGCACTCGTTGTGGTTGGCACATGGGAGAGGCACGGGCAGGAGGACGTGGAGGACGCCTTGGTCCCTGTTACTCCTGGAGAACTTTGTTCTCCTCGCAGCACGAGGCTGGCGAGCCCCTGGGGATCTCTGCAGGGCTGGGCACCCACATGGCCCTCGGTGCTATTTATTCGTCCTGCCCCCCGGCTGCGATGGGAGGGACGGGGCTGGCTTAGCGACTGTTCCTGTTCCTGGCTATTATCGTGATCTGCTGTTCCTATTTCTCGTGTAAGAGTGGGAAACTTTTCTCTCTGTCTTATTAAATCTATTTTTCAAGCTGTCACTTAACCAGGTCTAGTGACAGAGTCGGATGTTTATGTGGCCCTGGACACTTGAACTCTGGTGTTTTCAATCACAACAGCACCTTTTGCCAGCCGTTGTGAATTAAATACTCCTCGTGACCTTTTACCCTCGCCGCTCTTAAATTCATGCTTTAAAAACAGCTTAATGAGGGGTTTACTGGCCCAATTGGAAGTTTTTATTAAAACCTATTAGTGTGCTAGAGTAGCCTGCCTGAAGGAAACGATTAGCCCAAAGCAACTAAACTTGGAGCTGGCCCCTAGCCACACCAGGTTTTCACTAAACTGTTTCCAGACCCACGTTAACCCTAACACTGCAGCCTGCATGGTATTCATATCCTCTGCTTTAATTTATAGCTTGTCTGATTCTCTCCCCAGCCTTTCTCCATGTTCGCGAAAGCATTTTGGTTTAATGTAATTAGAGCTGCATTAAAGGGCAGTGTGCCTTCATCCAGGCCCCTCTCGTTTGCGAACCCTAATTAAGCAGAAGTGCCCCCCGCAGCCCTCCGCTGGCCGGGTGAGGTGTGTGCCCCTGCTTGGACGTGGCCGTGGTGCTCCTGGGACCCTGGCCCTTGCTCCCTTCCCACGAGGAGCATCTCAGCACCAAGCTGGAGGTGTTGGTGGAGCCCTGGGGTTAAAGCAGAGCTGGGTAAGGGGAGGACACGGCCTCGGGACAGCACTCGGAGCAGGAGGGTGGGAATCCCGGCTGGCTTCTGCCTCCAGCCACCCCTCGGATCCCAGTGTGTTTGCTCCAAGTCTGCATTCTGTTTTTAAGCCTGGGCCCGTGGTTCCTGCCAGGTTTAAGTATACATTTTGCAACGCTGCTGAAGCCCTGTAGCCCTTATCTTAGTGTTCCTGTGCTAATGTGCCTGTGCAGCTGAGAGAAGCAGGCCAGAGATGCAGCCTCAGCTGAAAAAACTCCTCCAGAAGCTGCTCTGGAAGTCCCAGAAGTGCCGAGCAGCCGTCACCTTCTTGCTGCTGCTCCAGCATCCCTGCCCCTGCCCTGCTCATCCAGGCTAACGGCAGCATCTCCCTCGAAAGCCACAAGATCTTTGGAGATGGGGCTTCCAGTTCTTTTTTAGATATTTTTCATACTGTATCTTGCCTGTTTGTGGATGTCAGCAGCTACTGAGCTGACAGCGTGAAACTCTGCACAATTTGTGATCTGTATTTAACATTTTGCTGCTGTGTCTGCTGAACTGGCTGTCCTTGTGTTCCTGGTACAGCCCCAGTGCCCAGGGAGTCACTGCTGTATATACTGAACGAAGCTTGACAAGCTTCCTATTTTTCCATCAGTTATTATTAAGCACAAAACAAAAAGCACGGTCCCTCTCCACACCACGCGCTTCCTGAGTGTCACCTCCTGTCTTTATTTTTACTGGCATATGGATGCACCAACCTTGGGAGGCACCTTTTAAAAAGAATGTTTAAGGAAAAATCTGCCATTAAAGTTATTACAGTAAAGTACTGCCTTTGATTGCGGCAATTATGCAAATGATTTTAAGGGATAAAATACTTCTTAACAAGGACTGATGTAAATGGTGGTGCTGGAACGAGTGCATAACTTCTTCAAACACAATCTTTCTGTGCAAGTAATTTTCTCTCAGCGGTTTGCCATGTTGCCTGGATGTCGACCTGTGTAACCAATGACTGGCCTGCGGATGTGATTTTATTTTCTCTTGATACAGGAATGTAAGTGGGTGGAATGGGAACGCTGGTCTTGCAGAAACTGGGAAGCCCTTTCCCTAAGCAAATTGTTTCTCCACAGCTCTTGTGGCTGACTTTTGTCCTAGCTTTAATAAAAAGGAAACAAACAGAAATGCTTTTTGCAGGCACAGATATTCCTCCGAAAAAATGAGGTTGGATTGGGTGACTAGCAAGAGTGGGGCTCCTGTTGATTAAGGATTCTGCACTAATGCATTGCTGAGGTTAAGTTAAATGAAGCTTTCTCCAGTATTAGTTTTAAAGCAGAGAAGTTGGATCCTTGTCTCCATGGTTTGGAAAAACATTGTCCATACTTTAAGATAGTGATCTGCTGCTGGTGTGGCTGAGACTTGCCTCCTACTTCAGTCTGATTGCAAAAAATGTGGATGGGCAGTCCGTGCCTTGGCTTTGGACTGGGCTGGGGATGTGCTCACCATGTAATGGATTTGTTGCCGTTAGCCCTCCTGCAGCTGGCATATAACAACATAACCCCCCGAAACCTTTATAAATTCATTGGTGAGCAGCAGTGAACGTGCCAGCAGCGTGGCAGCGTGCCCATGTACGATGTGGTGGCATCGCTTTGTAAGGTAGCTGAGCTGCCTCATCCCCTTGAAACCCCAGTATTAAAGGTGTGGTGGAAATGCAAAGTGTGTGTGTGTGTGTATCTTTGTTTGGGATGTATCTGGTCTGCTTGAAAATCTGTTGTGGGGTGACAGCTGCAGGAATTAAAGATGTGGCAGCAAAAAGAGGCCTTGGAGGTCCAGTGACACAGATGTCAGGTATGGCTCTTGAGCTGCGGAAAACTGCAGGGCATTTTGTTCAGTCTGGGCCGCAGGAATGGACGCAGTCTGCATGGAGATGCAGCAAGCCTCTGTCCCTGCCAGCAGCAGCGACAGGGACCCCCCTGTTCAGGCGGTGCAGGGCTCACACGTAGCGCTTGGATGCTCTCACGCGGATCCAACACCAGTGCCCAGCTTGGCTGGAGCAGGTGTAGTAATTTGCAATTATAATCATGGCTTCTGCTTTTGCAAATCGGTGTGCAAATAGCAAGGGTATTGTATGCAAAGCTTTATAACCCCTGCGTTTTCTTCTAAAACACATTCTCCCTTTCAGGGGTGTAGGGGTGGTTCTCCCTTACTAAGGGATTTAGTGTACTTACTGCAATGGTATCAGTGTCTGCTTAGATTTTTGTCCTTCTAACAAGATTGACCAAAGAAAAGGTATAGGAGTGTCTTTATTTTAGATCTGGGCATCAGCAGAAAAAAAGGTGATGCAATTTGACTCATTTTAATTGCCATAGGTACAGAAGAACGACTCTCTTCACAGATACACCTGAACAGCTCAGTACTGGCACTGAGTTCACTTGTGTGTGTTTTAAAGCCAGTAGTAGCTCTCCTTATCTCATAGTAGCATCTCTGTTATCTGTTCTCATGAGCTTACGGTGGATTTGTGTTAAGCCTTCCCATTAACCTGTGACTTTGTGCAATGCTCCCAGTTGCTGCTTCCAATGCAAAAACAAGAACGAGACTTGGATTAGTAAGTGTCAGGTCAGCTCCTAAAAAATATAGATGAAAAACATACTAAAAGTACTGATATACATAGCGAGGTACATCTGAACAAAAGCTAGCTCTGATCATGCTGAAATTTTGGAGGAGGATTTGACTTGCATCCAAACATTCCAGCATGGACTGATTGCTACTTGTTTGTGTAACAAGAAGGCATTTCCTTTGCTAAAGGATCCCGAGCTTGTTCCAAGCTCACTGTAGGCAAGGAAAACGCTGCCCAATACCGAAAGGCTCCCACCACTTGGGGCGAGGTTTCATATGGTCCAAGCATGGGCAGTGCTCAGTGTGACACGGGGTAACCTGAACACAGTGCCACTTGTCTGGGGGCGTTTGGGGAGGTCAAATGTAATTACTCAGTTGGAGTGTGGCCGGGAGAGTTATGATTAATTCCCTCGCTCCCTCAGAAAAGCCTGTGGGAACTTCAGTGGCCTCAGCGATAAGATCCTCATCGTTCAGCATCCGTTAGCATGGTTGAGCAGAGCAGACCTCCACCTGCTCAGCCCTGCTGCAGCAAGGGATCTACTCGGATCCGTGACCGACTGAGCAGTGAGCAGGGATGGGGCTGTGTGGGGTGGGCACAAGTGCCATCTGCAGAGCTGTCACCCGTGTCCTCCGGCACAGACGGGTTTTTGGAAGGTAACCAGGCAGGTGGGGCTGCTCTGACCTTGCTCAGGCTGTGGGCTAGCGAGAGGTTGCAGCAGTTGTAGGGACTGCCGGGAGCTGCTGCTTCTCCCCCTTTCGGTTGCTCCAATTCAATCACACAAAATTATGAATTCTCCCTCTGCAAAAGTGGAGCAAAGTATTCTGGCAAGGCTAACCTCGTACAATAGCCACAAAAATTGTTCTTGTAAATACTTCACTATAAGATTATTTTTCCTTTTGCTCTGCTTTTAAGAAACAAAACCGACAACTTTTTGAAATAGGACTTGTTTTTTAAGACCTTATGTGATTGCAGAGGATGTCGGCTTTATTTTGTCCTTGCCTTACTGTGAGTTACCAATATTTTTTCTGCCTCTGAGCAGTACCTTCTTCTTGTCTGTAGTGCTTGCCTATGTGTTACTGTGTTTGAAGGATCTTGAGGGTGCTGCTGCAAGCTGATCTGTTCCCTGCTGCCAAGCTGGGATAATGGCAGTCCTGTTTTCCCTGCAATATTTGCTGGTTGTCACAAATGTCCATGTCGAGCATAGTCCCTCTGCTTGGTTTTACCTGTTAGAAAGTAGTCAGGTCTGCTGTGAAGGTGCCGCAAGCCAAAAGGGCACCGTGCAGTGTTACACACCTGAAACGTGGGAGGGAGGTGGTGGTAAAGTTCCCCTGGTTTGTAGCGAGGACACATTGGGGAGAATCCAGCAAAAACAATGGTTTAGCTCAGTGACCCTGTTGGCTTCAGCAGGCTGACGCTTCTCAGCAAGGGGCTATTTAAATTTGTTGCAATATCGCCAGGCTTTTGATGGAAAGAGGACGAGAGATGGGCAGAGTTGTCTTCAAGATCAAAAGTTCAATATTGGCAGGGCAGAACGAGTTTTATTTTTATTTTTCTCCCTTTTTCTGAAGTTAAATAAACCTTGATGTGCAGAATAACCCCTGAATAATAATAGTAATAATAAACTGAAGGACATCCAAGGAACTGCTGGCGTTTTTATTTTTTCATTAATCGCAGTGTCATTTCTAACGTGCACCTGATTTATGTGTGTCTGGTTAACCATTCAAATGCCCTTTCTCTGACCTGATATACACCACATGAAAGTTTTATGGCAGTAATTTATAGAGGATGATTACAGCTCCGAATGTAAAGGTTTGGAATACCGTTCTTCTTGGGGCTGGCGGGGCTTGGTCCTGGTTGGGTGTTCTCCAGGTATATGGCAGAATTGCAAATTAAAAGGTTGAGGTTTGGGGACTTTGGGTATCACAGAGCAGCAGAAGAAAGCTGTGTGTGGACCTGTGAGGAGGGTCAAGAAGAGGTGGGCCCTAAACCTCTCCAAGGCAGCCAACTCTGTTGGGTTACTCTTGATCCTTTATTCTGGATTTGATCTGGAGTTTGGAAGCTTGAGTGGAATTCTGTAGATTTTTGGATGTTTTCCATTAGGAGTGTTTGAGCAGAAATGCACTGTACTTGGGATCAGATTAAGTGGCGTAGGTCTTTTGTCTTTTTCAATCGCCTGTAGGCTCTAAAAGGCTCTGTCTGGAGATTCATCAGCAAAGCTGCAACATCCCCTGAATGTCCCTGTGCAAAAGCCCAACTGCACAAACACAGATGTGGAGGGGCCGTCGTTAACAGCATTGAAATGGAAATGGCATTTCAGAAGGAGGAAGAACGCTTTAATATTCCTGCCCGTTTGTATCTGGTAATAACTTTTTTTTTTTTTTTTTTTTTTGGCCAAGCATTAAAACACAGCACTAATCCAGCGACTTGACCAATAAAACAAAGGGCTGGTTTCAGGACACACATCCTAGTGTGCTCTGATCTGCTCCTTTTGTCTCCTTTTTCTTGCTGGGAGGAGGAGTGTGGGTTTTTTCTTTTAAGTCATCTTAAGGGTATTTGTTTGACTGCTCAATGGTACTGAGGGCTAGAGGCTATGCTATGTATTTATGCTGGCAGCGTCCCTTGTTGAAACCTGTGTGTTTCTTCACAAGTCTGTTTTGAAGTTTATTGCATTTTCTGTGTTCCCTCTACTCATAAAGACTGGTGGAAGTACTGGCGTTGGTTAATGGAATGGGAGACAGAGGTCAAGTTTGATCTTCCTCTTAAGTGCTGGACTCCTTCATCTCCCCGTGGCAGGGAACAAACTGTCACTCCTCACTGTCTTTGCAGAAATTGATGCAAAAGTAAGTGACCACATGAAAGGAGCTGTCGAAGGATTTCTTGTTAAAGTTCCTTTGTCCAAGAATTTTGTCTCCTTGAAATGGAAATGATTCACGGGAATGCGCTGGTTCGAACAGATTCCTGGATCAGAAAAATTGAATCAATATTTTTGAAACTGTTGAAACTGTGTGTCTTGTCCTTAAATTAAAAAAAAAAAAAAAAAAGAAAGAAAAAAGAGTGACTTAGCGTGCTGAATTGTGTTGGGTGGTATCCTAAAGCTACTGCGGCAGGGGCTTGGACTTCAGAGGTGCAGTTTTTTTTACTATCCCCAAAGCATTGTGTTAGACACACATCCACTGTCATAAAATCACTGCAGCAACTGGTAGTTGAAATACCTTGTGCATTTTCCTCTTATTTGTGGCATCTTTGCACAGAAGGAGAAGCTGAGGCATCTGCTTCCTGCTGAGCTGAGTGCATTTCAGCAGCGGGATGAGAGGGGTGTCCTTGTTTTCTTAAATAGTGTCCCAGCACAGGAGTGTTCTGCGTTATTAATTGTTCTTTAAGGAGCATGCCACCTAGCCAAATACTTCTGGCCACCTCCTCGTTGCATCCGCCATGTTCTCTCAAACTTCTTTTTTTAATTTGATTTATTTATTTTTAGTCTAGTGAAATAATTTTCTCATGGGCTTCTCTTCCGTTTCTAAACTGGGTGAAACCGCAGTGTGAAGCCATCCTCTTCCCAGTCGCGTATAGGAAGTGAGCGCGAGCCAAGGTACATATTTTATGTTAGTCGAAAGAGATAAGTGTCAGGATTTCAAAGTTAATTCCACCCGGCAACTTCCAGCGCTGAAATGTCTGCTGTGCCTTGGCTCTTGTGCCTCGCTTCAGAACAGTGGGAGCTGCTATTGCACCTCTTGTATTTTCGTATTCTTTTGTGGAGGGGGTGCCTGCGTGCGTGCCGAAACGGGCTGGCAGTGGGGTTGCATTGCCACCCGCTCAGCTGGCTCTACTAACCCCATCTTCCACCTCCTGGTTCCCGTTACATAAAATGGGGATAAGGATTTCCCCAAGGTGCTTCCAGGTCTTTATGTAAAGCTGCTACTGAAGAGCGAGTGATTGCTATTTGGTTAAGGCACGGTGCCTAAAATAACATTTTAGCAGTGGGATTTGGACTTCTATCCTGTGCTTTCAGGCTATTAGGTGATTAAACCACCATTAAAACCGGACTAAACAGCTCCGGGTTTTAGTGGAGCAGGTAGCTGAGGTGTGGAGGTTTGAGGTTACGTCTTGATTTACTATTTATTATGGACGTTTATCAGGGAGGAGATGGGGCAATTTTCTGTGCTTGCATGCAGCGGGGACCAGCTTGGGAGCAGGGTGATGGAAAAGGGGTCCTGCAGTTCCCCAGAAATGTGGTAGGAGGGGTGAAAGGAGACAGCAAAAGTGTTCCCCCAAAAGGGGCAAGAGGGTGAAAAATAAGCAAGCTGTGCAATAAAACAGCAACGAGCCGTCCGGGTGCAGGGTGGGGATGAGATGTCAGGCTGGCTCCTTCGGGAGGGGAAAAAGGAGCAAGGAGAAAGGTGAAGGATGAATGCTGGAGACCGATGGAGAAACAGTTCCTGTCCTTGTTCCTGCTGGCTGAGGTAATCCTGTTATTTTCGAGCAGCAAGCTGGGGCGCGTGGCCGAGATCAGCTCCCCCGAGCGCCGGCTGTGCTCGGCCTCGCAGCTGCAGGAGGAGCGCGGGCAGCGGCTGGCGGCTGGGGCTCGGCGTTGTCACCAGGGCCGGCACTGCCGGGGTTTTTTGTGAGCTTCGGTAAACACCAGGGCCAAGCTCTGGGTGTAAATCTGGAATGGTTTCAGCGCAGTTGGATCTGCCCAGCTGTGCTGGATGCTGGGGTCACGGGGCTGCAGGAGGAGGCCGCGGGGAGGTGCCTCAGGGGACAGCGCGGAGCTTTCCGTTTTGCTGAGCTTTACATCGCCACTTCTCGTCCTCACTGTTTGACCAGCGAATACATTACATTCCCATTTGTATGGCTCACCTCTCAATATGACTTGTTGAGGCTCGTGCAGCTTATTCATCCCCTAAAGCAGATATGGCTGCTGGCTGGTGGTGTGGGGAGGTTTGGAAGTGCCCAGGCACGGGGCCCAGGGGAGGCCCTCACACGGCGCAGCGTTGCTCCACGTTGATTTCCACACTTGTGCATATCTGTGGGCACGTCGCAGAGCTCTTTGTCCTAAAAGGCTCTGGGATGTGCAGCTGTGTGGGTTGTTGGGCCCTCGGGGAGGCAGTTGGAGGGCTGTCAGTGTGAAGCCTGCGTCCGTACTGCGGAGCGGGTGAGGTTCAATCTGGAGTGTCATTTGGGCTCTAAAATGCTCCCCCTGATACGGGAGCGAAGCAAACCTCAGAGCAGAGATAAATCCACGTTCCTGGGAGTTTCTCATAGGCTGCTGGGCTTGTGATCTGTCCTGCAGCTGCCTGTGGGCTGCGATGTGGCACGGCTCGTATAAATCCTTGCTCGCATTTTGCAGTGCTGTCAGCCCTTCGGTGTGGCTCAGAAAGTGATTTTTTATTTTTTTTTTAAGAAAGTAGCTTGATGTGTATATTTCAATCTATGGGAATATGGAGTCCTCTGAGATCTGTGCAGTGAAAATGGTATATAGATAGTTAAGCAGGGGAATTTGGCCAAGACTTTCTGGCACACAGCTTGGACAGTTATAGTAATTTATTATAATATTTTCCCATCTGTTTGTTATTATTAAATATGAAGTACTGATGTTGCACAATCTTACCTTTTGGATTTATGTCCAGAAGAAATCAGTGTACATTTTTATTGAATACCTTTTAACTTTAACTTATGGCTACGAACAGCGTTTTGAACTTCTCCTTTGTGAGTTGAAAGTAAAATGAAATTAAAAAACTCCTGACACATGCCACTCTTTAAGGGTCAGCACTTTCTGGTTTGAAAATTAGCCCATACACGGATATCTTTCTTGAGTGTTTTATTTCCCTTCTAAATCCTGGGTTGCCAGCAGCTTCTTTTCCTGTTTGAGCCGTACATGAAAGCGTGGGTTCCGCGCTCTTGTCTTTGGCTGTGCACACAAGCAGCCGAAATAGTCGGTGTGTTTCTGGGGCCCCGGGGCAGCACCGGGTATAAAACTGCTGGGAACTTCAAGGCTCGGGTGATGGCTGCATCGGTTGTGCTGCTGGGGGGCATTGGGCATCAGCACGGTTTTGTCATACCCTGCTTTGAGGGCAGCCCCCTGTAGCGGGCAACCCCCTGCACCTCCAGAAACCCCAGATAACAGTGAAAAATTCTCTGTGTCCTGCCAAGTCCATCCTGCAAGGCAGGGAGAAGCAGGGGAGAGGTGGCAGGAGGTGAGATCGCACGGGTTGCTTGTGGTGGGCTGGGTTGTGAAAGTAATTGGGCTGCGTTTCCGCTGACCTGTGCTCTTCTGATGGATGCGGCTCTGTTGCAGCCCATCTAGCAGACCACGCACATTTCCACTAATAACTTGTTACAGGCTGCGCCTCTACCCCAAGTGGTTCTTCCTAGCTTATTGAATCGCCTACAGCTGCAACTCGCTCAAGGTCTTTTTAGTGCTTATGTGCAACAGAACTAACTTTCAGGGAAAGCCTTAATTTCCTGGGGCGATGGGCTGATATTTTCTTCTCTCAGGGCTGAAATCCTGGTCCCTGCACGTGTTTGGGGAGCAAGGCTCACCCTTGGGGAGCCGTCCCCTCTGCTCCTGGCCCCACTCCCCAGGATCACTTGTCCTGGGAAATGCGCGTGAGCCCTCCTGCTTGCAGAAACCTGTGAATTAAAACCCCATCTCACAAGCAATATTATTTTTTTTCCACTTTAGAAATAACTCCCTTTATTGTGCTGAATGCAAAATGTTTCACGTTCCATAGGTGTAAATGCATATAAAAGAGCTGCCGTGCTCTTTATTTCCACATTCCTAGATGTTTTTCAAAAAGTTTTATCTTTAATATCTGCACTTATCCTCTTGTGTAGTTATTTGGAGCAATGCATTGTGTCACGCTAAAAAGCTATTGATCTCTTTTAAATGGCTTTCTAGACCACTGCGCAATACTGCACTTATTAAAGGAGTAATTTTTTGTATAAAAGTTTTTTGTGTTTTTGTTTAAATGTTACCACATGCGGCATTGGCTATTTCATAGCGTAATTATTTTGACAAATAATACAGATGCTTTAGAACTGATTTTGGTTACCTTACTGTGTTTCAAATGATTTTTAAATAAAACTTTTTTTCCTCCCTTACATCCAGGGACTTATTGGCATGAGCATACCAAAGCCTCAGGTGTATGATAAATCACCAGAGTAAGCTTTGCTTGTGTTCAGGCTACCTTCACAGATGTTTCCACTTAGGAAGTTTCAGCCCTCAGCTTTACTGACAAGTTTCCCATTAATTATTGAAAGTTCACATCAAAGAGCGGATAATTACTTCTATTAATAAAGGGAATGCATTCTCTGAGCATCTATTTCAGGTGTTTGCTCGAAATTTCAGCATTTAAGCGGTTGCAGGATATTTTTCCCTGTTTTGCTGGAGCACTGGAAAGCATCCGACTGGTTGGTCCCCAAGCAATACCTGCTACTTGACGTTTCCAGGTCGGCCTTGCATTACTGAATGCTTACGAAGTACACGATCCCTTGCTGGATAACCCTTAGTTCTGGAGCACACGTATTTTCAGCCTGAATTAATAACGTTGTGGATTGAGGACAGAAAAGGCAGTGATTAATTCATATGTTTCATTTTAGGCACTGAAGTCATTTGGATTTCTTACAGCAGGGAGAGCTGAGCGGGTGTATGAGTCTTGTGGTATTGGGACATATGTGAATAGCTGTTTAATATCAGTTGTCACTATCTTGTGTGATTTTTTTTAATGTGGTTGATTTCAGTGGTTTATATAAAAATATGAAAAGCTTTTGCTTCAAATTAGAAGCAAAAATTCTAATTATATGCTACAGAATATCCTCACGAGTGAATCTGATGTCACACTCATGGGAAATTCACCACCCAGGCTGCAGACAGCGCAATCACCGCTCATCGCTTCGCCGCGCCCGGGGGTGGCAAGGGGCAAAAGGAAAATCTTGCTGCACGCCGTGTTACGTTATCATTAAGCCTCAGACCCCTTCCAACTGGCAGCTTCTCAGCAGAACTTGATGGATGGTAATATTTGTGGGAAAACACGTTTTTCTCCCCTCCTTTCC